GAGAGAATGCCAAGAGTGTGCAAAGCAGTAATCAGAGCAAAGGGTGGCTATTTTGAAGAAACTAGAATATAAAACATGTTTTCAGTTATTTCACCTTTTTTTGTTAAGTACATAACTCTACATGTGTTCATTCATAGTTTTGATGCCTTCAGTGAGAATCTACAATGTAAATAGTCATGAAAATAAAGAAAACGCATTGAATGAGAAGGTGTGTCCAAACTTTTGGCCTGTACTGTATATATATATATATATGCCGTCCAAAGAACCAAAGAACAGCTATGATACTGCGCAAAACCCTCAAACTCCCCGGCAGTGGCCGTGAAAAATGTTCCTCTTTTCCTATGATGATAACAAGACGATGATGAGCTAAAAATAGATCTTGATAATTAAAACTAACAAGAAATCTATATTTCGTTTTCATTGGCGAGACAAGATGTGAAGAAAGTGTTCATGGTGGACTATCGAACACTGAAAACTGAGAATGGCTGTGCTTGCAGTTATCTTCAAATGCCACATGAGCACACTCACACCGGAGCAGCATCAGCTGTTGGTGTGAGTTGTGAGTTGTTACTCAGAAGTAAATAATCAGCAGTGTGTGTCTGACTGTGGATAGTGGAGCTGCTGCATGGATTTGTGGAGTTTGTTAGTTGCAGCGGTGGCTGTTAGCAGTTAGCTCCGCTTGTCAGCTGCTGAACGGAAATGTAGTAAGCAGCCGCCGGCTGCCAAACTTCACAGTTGATCTCCACAGGACTTTACTAAGATCTGGACTGTCTTGAGAAGGTTTATGGGTTGATGCTGTGTGACAGGCAGGTAGGAGGCACAGTTATCTGTGAGTGTAGCTGTGCTGTAAGTAGTTTTCTCTAATGGAGATGAAAGTTTAGTTTTAATCACCAACTCTGTGAGAGAACACAAGCTTAAACTTCCAGACTAACATGTTGCAGATTAAGAAAGAATTCAGGCTTTAATGAAGTTGTTTTTCTGCTTCTTAACAGTGAGATGGATAAGTCAGTTTACAATTAACCTGGGTACAAATCCTAGTTGTCTCAGATTAGGTGTCAAAGTGTTGAGAGCATAAATAGAGATGTTGAGTTTTTCAAATGATGATCAGTAAGTATGTGCCCAAAATCATCCTTTAAACCTTTCAAAATCTGCTGAAGAAATGAAAGTTTGTAAGTGTTCAGAAATTATTTGTAGTTTCACTGTGGTTCTAACTGCTGATACATGAATTAGCCTGACTGGATTTCAATAAGGAGAGACAGAAGAATGAAGTAAAGATAATATTTAATACAAAATATGAGTGTACAGATTAACAGATGATTTGTGCTGATGAAGATTTAACCGAAGTCTTTGGCACTCAGACACCAGAAGGAGATATATTGTGATCAAGGGTCATCTGAGGGACAGCAGAATAAATCCAGGTGTTGGTGGTGGTGGTGGCTGCTGATTCTGAGGCTGCTGAGGCAGATAAGGCTGATGAATCTGTAAAAACTAGGTGGTGATGGGGAAGTTGGGCATGCACGACTGCAGCAAGAGGAAACAACTGATGACTCAGTTGAAAGACCCAGAGATGACACCCAGAGATAGTGAGTGAGCATGCCAGCAAGGAGAGAATGGCAGGGTGAGAAAGAAAATTTACAGCCTAAGCATGAATATTTTTGTCTTCCTGACTGAACTTTCAGTAGAGCTTTATTACACACACACACACACACACACACACACACACACACACGCACACAC